CCATCCTGACCAAAGGGGCCCATGTCACTGTACCCAGGAGGAAGTGGTGGGTGGCGAGCCTGGGCTGGGAGGTAGCAGCTGGGCAAGCACACCATTTGCACCAGCAAATCTTCCGTGTGAATCAGAAAAGAGAACTTTGCCCCGATTCATCCTGGGTTTGTAGGCAGTCAGGCCTGGTGGATTGGGGGGTAAAGGGGAGAGGGAGGCACCAGCCTGCTTTTCCAGCTGCCCTCTACATCAGCCAGGCATGCCCCGAGGCTCCCTGCTGCCACACCCTTGCTTATTCAACATGTTATTCATTTAAGCACAGGAGAAAGGGTTCAGTGTGGCCCTACTGTGACTGGAACGAGAGAGGCCATCGGGAATGGAGGTAGCCTTTCAGTTGTCACCATTCCCTGTTTGTAGACCTCGTGAATTCTCTCTCATGACATCTATTTCTCTGCATTTCTGCCCTGTTCTCCCCTCACTTATGACTATCCCCTCTGTGTCCTCCAAGTTTCTGTTCTGGAGGGACCCAACTTCTTTCTAACCTGCCACCAGAGTATCATTTAATTTTATATATTAAATTTTTTTAATGTTTATTTATTTTTGAGAGAGACAGAGACAGAATGCGAGTGGGTTGGGCGCAGAGAGAGAGGGAGGCACAGAATCCGAAGCAGGCTCCAGGCTCTGAGCTGTCAGCACAGAGCCTGATGTGGGGCTCGAACTCACAGACTCTGAGATCATGACCTGATCTGAAGTCAGATGCCCAACCGACTGAGCCACCCAGGCGCCCCTATATTAAATAAATTCCTGACTCTGGGAATTCAGGCCTCTTCTTTCAACTCCTTCAACCTCTTCTTTTCGGACAATACAGCTTTTTGGTCCTAAGAGTCTAGACCCTGGAAAGCTTAATTTTCCTTAAGGGCAAGGGAAGCCCCAAGCATTCACTCCTCGGTGAATATTTGCTGACTAAATATTTACCTGCTATGCTCCAGGCACTGTTTTAGGTACTGGGGATACAGCAGTGAATGGCAACAAGAAACAGTATTTCTGCCCTGGTGGAGTTCATACTCTAACAGGTGGACGGTAAACCAGATGGATAAGTAAATTAAATACTATAAGCTGAAGCCCTATAACTGCTAAGGAGAAAAAAAAGTTCAGAGGAGATGATCCAGGAATGAGCCATGAGGCTTTCTTGGGAAACCCAAGCAGAGCAGGTGCAAAGGCCCTGGGGCAAAGGTGTGTTGGACTGAACGAAGAGCCAGGACAGCAGTGTAGTTGAAAAGGAGTGAGCAAGATGGACACTAGATTTCAGAAAGATAGTGAGATGTGTCTGACAACTTAAGTCCCTCTAGGCCACAATGAGAACTTTGGCTTGTATTTTGAGTGAAATGGAGAACCACCGAAGGGTTTTGAGCAAGAAAGCAGCATGATCTGACATATATTTTTATTTTGTTTTTTTAATGTTTATTTATTTATCTTGAGAGAGAGAAAGAAAGAGCAGGGGAGGGGCAGAGAGAGGAGAGAGAGAATCCCAAGCAGGCTCCTTGCTGTCAGCACAGAGCCCCACATGGGGCTCCATCCCATGAACCATGAGATCATGGCCTGAGATGAAACCAGGAGTCAGACGCTTGACCGACGGAGCCATCCAGGCTCAGCCCCATGACTTGTACATTTAAAGGATCCTCCCGGCTGCTGTATGGAGAACAGACTATAGCAGGGGCAAGACTGGAAGCAGGGGACCAGTTAGGGGACTGCCACAAAATCCTGGCACTAGGTGATGGTGGCTCGGGCCAGGGAATGAGCAGTGATGAAGATGAGAAATGGCTGCACACAAAATCTTGTTTACTCTCTTGCGCTGAGCAAGAGAAGATTCTCTCTCATCGTTTACAGATGGACCTATAGAAAAATAAGACATATTTGAAATCATTTTACCTTACCATGGACACAGAAGAGCTGAGGCATCCAGGCCGCTGGCTTCATCTTAGATGCACAGATCCTGGGTACCCCAGAACTTCCCAGCATAGGGTCTCATTTGTCACTCCTCTGTGACATGATATGCTTGAGTCCATTTTCATGGAACAGTTGGTAAGTGGAGCAACTAAGCCATCCTGAAGAAAGCTGGCATCTTTTGGGTTCAGTCTATCTGAGGCTACCTTGCCCTTGGTTAGCTGTCTCCCTGCCAACACGATCAGTTTCCTTTTTTCTTTTCTCTTCTCTTCTCTTTTCTCTTTTTCTTTCTTTCTTTCTTTCTTTCTTTCTTTCTTTCTTTCTTTCTTCTCCTCTTTCTCTTCCTCCTTCTTTTTCTTTTAGTTTTTTTTTAATGTTTACTTATTATTGAGAGACAGAGAGACACAGAGAGTGAGTAGGGGAGGGGCAGAGAGAGGGAAAGACACAGAATCCGAAACAGGCTCCAGGCTCTGAGCTGTCAGCACAGAGCTCGACGTGGGGCTCGAACCCACAAACTGTGAGATCATGACTTGAGCCAAAGTCAGTCACCTAACCAACTGAGCCACCCAGGTGCCCCTCCTCCTTCTTCCTTAGAGAGAGAAGGCGCAAGTGAGCAAGGAGCAGATTGAGAGAGACAGAGACAGAAAGAAGTGGGGCTCACCCAAAGCAGGGCTCATATTCACAGAAGCAGCTCATCTGATGCGTGCCTGATGCGGGGCTCAAGCTCCCGAACCCTGAGATCGTGACCTGAGCCGAAGTCGGATGCTTAACCGACTGAGCCACCCAGGCATCCCTCTTTCCTATTCTTTTTTAAGATTTTATTTTTAAGTAATCTCTACAGCCAACATGGGGCTCAAGCTCACAACCCTGAGATCAAGAGTCACATGCTCCCCTGACTGAGCCAGCGAGGCGCCCCTGGCCTGTCAGTTTCATACTGCTCATTTGAGGCAGCCAAGATAACATCAAGCAGAAGGCACCTACTGCAGCTGCTTTCCTCAGAAGTGGGTGACAGTAAGGCCAATGCTTTGAGTTTCATAAAGTCCTCTCTAGATGCTTCATCTGTTTGAACACTGATGAGTCATTTACTAAATTGGAGCACAGAGTCTAGAGAGGCAACAAGGCCCTTGCAAGCCATGCCAACAAGCTTGGAGATGATCGTGTGTATGCAAAAGGAGAATCATCAGAGGTTTTAAAGCCTAAGAGAGACCAGCTCAGGTTTCTCAAGGTTAATATGGACCTTCCCCAGGAGGTGGAACCTTCTCTAGAGGCAGGAGAGTGAAGAAAGGAAGAGCTGCAGTGGCAGTAAATTGTTCCCGTGAGAATTGATGGGCGTTTGGGCAAATGGAATGGAACTGAGAGACCCAACTGAGCCCTCAGAGAACAGACTATTTGAGATATGATAAAGGCCTGTGACTAAGGAAGAACTGTGTGTGTGTGTGTGTGTGTGTGTGTGTGTGCGCGCGCGCCCACAAGCGTGCAAGGAACATCCTGTCTCAGGACTTCCCCACGTGGTCCCAGCCTCAGATGTCTGCAACCCAACTCTTCAGGGAGTCATCTGCTCTCTCCAACATGGAACCTCTGATTCCCTAGAATCCTTGGGGCTTCCTTGTACTTTTGAGGCTTCCTCAGATTTATAGCCCTCAAACAGAAGGGGGAAAAAATGTTCTTTTCCTCTTTTAAACTGAAAACCAGGGGCACCTGGGTGTCTCAGTTAGTTGAGTATCCGATTCTTGCTTTTGGCTCCGATCATGATCCCAGGGTTGTGGAATCGACTCCTGTATCAGGCTCCATGCTAAGATCCTCTCTCTCTCTCTCTCACTCTCTCTCTCTCTCTCTCTCCCCCTGCCCCTCTCCCCCCACTCATTCTTGCTGTCTCTTAATAAATAAATTAAATGAATTAACAAACTGAAAAACAAAATCTGATAAATACG